ACTGTACAATACGACATAAATTATATTGAGTGATCACTAAATGTTGATATATTATTTTAAGTATTACTAGCTATTATTTCCAAATTATTTTGACGATGCGTTTTCCAGTTTTGTATGCTATTTTTGTTAGCCCAAATATTTTTTTTTCTTTGTAATTACTGTTTTTCGGAGATGGCTCCTGTGGCGTCAGTTAACACTAGCCAGCGCCAGAACCTGATTAGGTTGAGGTGCCACAAAGTGTACTGCGCACAGCGAAGGAGCGAAGCGCGGGGGCTTAATGGACCCTCGAACACTACCGGAGTTGGCGCTCTGGCGGATTGACTCATGTAGAGCGCAGAGCACAAAAATACCGTTGGCTGTAAACTCGAGGAGGCTAGCTAGCGTGCCTCAACGAATGCAGGCGAGCCAACCCTAGAAACTCTGTGTGGGGGCGTAAACCAAGGCTGGCCGCGAGTCTATCTATGGAACAGTGGTGGGGGTGTCAGCCTCAACTATTTAACGCGGCGCATCTGCGCCCGCGCTCTCATTCAGTTTGCATCGGGTAGCTTGTACGTGTATGTACAAGGAGGGTGTAAGGAGTGAGGGCGAGATGTCCGGAGAGTAAGGGCAGACAATCTCACGTGCTGTAAGCACACGGTCGCCACGACCGGGTTAACTTTGGCGTCAGGCCATGACGGTAATTGTCACGGGACAGAAGTCCGACGGCGCGCATCACGCGCGTGCGTTGTAATTTTCTGCGGTAAAGCAGTGTTCGAAAGAAAAGGTTGCCGGAGTGTTTAAAAATTTGCAATTCATTGTAACTTGTTACTAATCTTTGAATATTATTATTTTATTTTGTTATTGAAATTTATTTCTTATTTCACTACGTCACAGACTCGGAACTTTTTTTTTCATAATTTGGTGGCAGCGGTTTTTACGAAGCCCACGGGGTATTAAGTTTCCATTTTTTTGCTTATGATACTGGAGTGTTTAATTTGTAAAAACATGTGTTTTTTTGTGATTTCATTGTAATTGATTTTCTTTTTTTTTTTGTTTTTTCCTATATCACCTACAGTAATAGAACTTTGGGCTTGCACTGTTGTGGGCAATGAAATAAATGCTATTTTCGCTGTGTTCATTTGTTGTTGTTTAATTATTACACAAATGTAGTTATTTGACATTTACTTATTTCGTTAATTACATTACTGGCATTACTGGTATACAATATTACATATATGTGTCTTCAAATTAGGTCTTCTAAAGTTTCACGAAAACTCAAAATTCCACATTTTTCAGAACCCCCCAAGGCCATGTTTGGAAATACTCCAAATTTCTTGTTTCAAGTTTAGAATGGACTGAATAAAATGACAAATGCATTTTGATGCATCTTTTGCATTTTGAAAAACTACACAAATGTAATTTTTTGAAGTATCTCTCATGTTGTTAAATTTGTATTATCAGGAATATTACACTTTTGAGTCAGTTTTCAGATTTGCATATCTATGTACGGAGACAGACTATTAACCAGCTCAAAGGTAGTGTATTCTTTTGTCTGCCCAATTCAAATGTTAAACAAGTCTTTAAGATTTATAAAAAGTGCAATACACATTTTCAACAAGTAAACTCTTTCTTTGATGTTTATTTGTTTAAGATTGGCAGTATACAAAAGTGTTAGTACTAAAAATAATTGTAATCCAAAAGTTGAGATACTGACAGTTTAATTCATGTTAGAGTTGTATAAATAGTATTGGTTAGATATGTCCGCCCCCCAATGGGTGATGGATGGTCTTATATTCAAGTAAAAATGGTATATTCTAACAATGTCTGTTTACACGATGCGAACCCAGTGGACCAGAACGGACAAGTCAAATATACTGAGCAGGGGACTCCGTCCGCCGAAGTGTGCAAGCCCTCAAAGAACGCCCTACAACATCGTTCCTATCTCATATCTCAATACATGTAGAATCGTGTGTGCGAGCCCCCATGTATCTGTATCTCACATGCTATCTAAGGAAAGGCACCTCATCACACCAGTCTGCATCATCTGCTATTATTGAGCCGACTCCATGACCGAATATTCTATCAGTCAGACGCTTAGCTCAAGAGATGAGAGAGACTCATCTCTATCGCCTAAACGTCTCGCGAGCGAGCATCCACAGAGGTTCTACCAGCGAGGTCCCGCTATATGCAATCCAACTATATCTTCATGTCTATGCAAAACTTATCTAGCCACAATTATTCCTTCTCACGTCTCCATATAGTCTTCTATACAACACCGCCATCACCACGGCGAGCACCACCAACTGCACACAGATAACATGACATACTTTGCTGCTGGCTAGAAACATTTGCCAGCGTATTAACACACAGACTTATGGACAAGAGCATACAAGAGATGTAAACTACACTTAGAAAGTGATGCATTGAAATATGCTACTGCTTATACTGCGTGTTGCCAAAGTTAAAAGCAAAACCAAGAAGGGAAGGTCGCTTCATTTATTATTGCTCAATCAAACCGCAATGATGCAAGAAATCGAGAGATTAAATTTTGCCGAAAATCCACTGAAAACAAATGCTATGTAAATTAATTAAAATATTAATTAACGCACCAAGCAAACATGAAATTCTCACTTAAAATTTAATAACTGACATCATTATACTAAAAAATGTATGGTTACCCAATACTGTGCACTTTTGATGTAGTATAATGGGAAAAATACATTTTACAGTTTTTGTTTTATAAGGATGAAGAAGCATTTCAAAAGACACAGACAAAAAGCTCATGTTCTAATTTCAACTTCAACCAGTCAATTTATTCGACCCAGCAAATTAGCTTATTTGACCAACAAAACAAGCTAATTTGAGCCTTATTTCCATGCTTTGGTAGAGAGTATTTCAAGAGCTTCACCATTCCAAGTCATTGTAAATACTAAAACTGAATAATGGCTTCCCAGAATTTTACATCCTAGCAAAGAAAATAGATTGCAGGTAGAAAAACATTTACAAGTAAGAAGGGCAAAAGTTTGTGCCGGTCCTGAGTAGATAGTCGTCACTCAGAAATACACAAGTAGAGTTTCCCCAAGGGTGTGGCCAAAGCGTTCCTTATTTCGACTGTGAAGATCTTAACATCACATGTGGTCACCAATGTTTTGTCTCACTGTAGCCTGTCTGACCATACATATTATATCTATATAACATTTATCCATATCCAATCTTATATCGCACTATATATCAAAATGTCTGATACTGTCAACTCCCTTTAAATACCCAACAAGATTCATCTATCTTTAATTTGTACCAATTGCATCTTCTATCTGGAGTGTCTCACAACTAACATTTGCTAGAACATCATTGGAAGATAATACAGATTACTTTACTTCTACTAAATATAAGCACAATTATTATAAAACACAAACTTAGAAGAGATTTACTAAATGGGATTGGGAAGATTTGACATTCTGCGATTGTCAAATGCTTCCCTACAATGGTCCTCTTTCCTTCAGGAAATCACAATAGCCAGCTATTCTGGAAATATTTTCACGATTACAACAATAAGCATTCTTTTTTCCCTAAATGTCTAAGTTAAAAGCCCCATAGATTTAAACAATGAAATCATAATGTTCGTAGAAAATCGTCTTTCTTTCATGCAGCACAGGCATCGAAGCATGTTTTAGCCACAATGTTAACAAAAATATAAATTACAAAATAACCTTAAAAAATTTTAAAAATAAGATTTTCATGCAAAATTTTAATTAGCCATCTTCTCTCGTTTCTTACTTGGCTAAACAATAGGCTAAAAGGTTCTGATCCCACATTGCAAGTGAGGCTGCTCTTTTTTGCCCCTTGCGACTCCCGGCCCTCACAAGCGGAGGGGATCAACTGTTTTTTCAAGTTTCTCTGGAGATGGAGGTGATACAAAATTCCTTTCATTATATAAGTAATAATTACATTCAAGACTTAAAGATTCAATCAAGTAAAAGCCTCATTGCAGTGCACTTTTCATAATCAATACGATTGTATTGCTATAATAATCTGTATCAAAAAGGCACTCGTGAATGATGATTACTTTTAGCTAAGAAATTTGTATCAACCAATGCATCTATGTTAGAGACAACTTGGCCGCATGCTT